TGGCACGGCACTCTACCCAGGGGGACAGCTTGAGGTGGCTCTCTATCAAAAAAAAAAAAAAAAAAAAGAAGCATAATGCTACTTTCTAGGGTTGACCCAAAAAGTATTTAAAAAGTGAGAAATTAGGGGTTGGGTAGGGTGACTCATGCCTGTAATCCTAGCACTCTGGGAGGCCAAGGCTTGTGCTCAGTAGTTCCAGACCAGCCTGAGCAAGAGCAAGACCCTATCTCTATTAAAAATAGAAAAACTAGGGGCCAGGCACAGTGGCTCACACCTGTAATCCTAGCAGTTGGGAGGCTGAGGTGGGTGTATTGCCTGAGCGCATGAGTTTGAGACAAGTCTGAGCCAGAGCGAAACCCTGTCTCTAAAAAATAGTTGGACTTTGTGGCGGGTGTGTGTAGTTCCCATTTACTTTGGAGGCTGAGGCAAGACAATCACTTAAGCCCAAGAGTTTGAAGTTGCTATGAGCTGTGATACCATGACACTCTACCAAGGGTGACAAAGTGAGACTCTGTCAAAAAAAAAAAAGAAAAAAATAAGAAAACTAGCAGGGCATAGTGGTGTTTGACTGTAGACCCAGGTACTGGGGTGACTGAGGCAAGAAGATTGCTTAAGCCCAAGAGTTTGAGGTTGCTATGAGCTATGACGCTGTAGTACTCTACCAAGGGTAACAAAGTGAGCCTCTGTCTCAAAATAAAAAGTAAAAAATTAGATGGGCATTGTGGCTTATGCCTGGAATCCTAGCACTCTGGGAGGGTGCGGCAAGAGGATCACTTGTGCTCCGGAGTTTGAGGTTGCTCTGAGGTTTTTTCTTTGTTTTTTTTGTAGAAACAGAGTCTCACTTTATTGCCCTCAGTAGAATGCCATGGCATCATACTGCTCACAGCAACATCCAGCTCCTGGGCCCAGACAATTCTCTTGCCTCAGCCTCCTGAGTAGCTGGGACTATAGACACCTGCTATAATGCCCAGCTATTTTTTTGTTGCAGTTTGGACGGGTCTGGGTTTGAATCTGCCATCCTCAGTATATGGGGCCGGCGCTCTACCCACTGAGCCACAGGTGCTGCCCAGTTGCTGTGAGTTTTGACGCACATGGTACTCAAGCCTGGGGCAGCAGAATAAGACTCTGTCTCAAAAAATAAATAATAATAAAAAAATGAACTTGAAAAATAGATTATGTAATTAATACTCAATATAGATGACATTATCTAACAGAATACAACCTAACAAAAAAACCTTTATATTTGATCATCAGAAACACTTTAGATGTAGATCTTCTGGATTGGGTTCTATGGGAAATTTTATGGGGAACAAGATTTTAGGTATTGCATCATCAAGTTAAAGGAATAAAGTCAACATATTTATCAAATCTTTACTATTACCAGGCATTGGGCTAACTACGTAAGTATCTAGTTCTAAAGTGGAAATAAGAATTATTAAATATTACTTAATTAGGATGCAGAAGTGACTTTCCCTTATACTCCAATATTTATTGATAGGTGGCAATAGTGCTTCGAAGACTGAGGGAGCTACAGCTTCAGGAAGTAGCTTTGCGGCAAGAAAATAAGCGTCCTAGCCCACGGAAGCTCTCTTCTGAACCCCTTTTGCCTCTGGATGAGGAAGCTGTGGATATGGACTATGGTGACATGGCTGTGGATGTAGTTGATGGAGACCAAGAGGAAGCTTCTGGAGACATGGAGATCTCTTTTCATCTTGATTCAGGCCACAAGACCAGTAGTAGAGTGAACTCAGCAACCAAACCTGAGGAAGGCGGATTAAAGAAAAACAAGTCAGCAAAACAGGGTGACAGAGAGAACTTTAGGAAAGCCAAGCAAAAATTGGGTTTCTCATCTGCTGATCCAGATCGCATGTTTGTTGAGCTGTCTAATAGCAGCTGGTCAGAAATGTCTCCCTGGGTGATTGGTACCAATTATACTCTTTATCCTATGACTCCTGCTATTGAGCAGCGACTCATTCTCCAATATTTGACCCCTCTAGGAGAGTATCAGGAGGTAAGCCTTTGGGAAGAGTATTATTCATACTTTGGAACTATTAGGTTCATTTCTGGGATATTTTATGGTAGCATTTTATATAATATGTTCTTACTCTACTACAAAGAAGTTTTTACCCCAAACTTATAAAGTCTTAATGCAGGTCACATCTGATTAGGTCTGTTTGATCAAAGTGTGTTCATAAGTTTGTCTTCATAAGGAAGGGAGGAAGAAGTGCCTTGGTAATCTTCTATTCTCATAGGAAATAGAGCCACAATTTAAGCTTTGTTTTTGGTCTTCATTTCAGTTACTTCCCATATTCATGCAGCTTGGATCACGGGAGTTAATGATGTTCTATATTGACCTAAAACAAACTAATGATGTCCTACTTACGTTTGAGGCACTCAAGGTAACATTCTTAAAAATATTAGATCACTAAGCATTTTATCAACAGACATGTGCCTGTGTTTCTCACATGTGTTTTGGTATATAGTTTCTCTGGGGTGTTTTGCTTAGGATATTTCTGTTACTATATGTGTAAGGATAGTAACAAACATAACATTCTCAGATAGAAAAAATGAAGCTTACCATGTCTCTGTCTCTGCACCAACTTAGGAGTTACTCCTTTTTATTATTTATTTTTGAGACAGAGTCTCACTATGTCACCCTCAGTAGAGTGCTGTGGTGTTACAGCTCATAACAACCTTAAACTCCTGGGCTTAAGCTATTCTCTTGCCTAAGCCTCCCAAGTAGTTGGGACTACAGGCGCCTGCCACAACACCTTGCTATTTTTTTGTTATTATTGTCAGTGTTGTTTAGCAGACCCTGGCCAGGTTCGAACCCACCAGCCTCGGTGCATGTGGCCAGCACCTAACTACTGAGCTATGGGTACTGAGGCAGGAGTTACTCCTAAAGGGCTGAATGTTGAGATAGAAAGTGGATCTAGATCTGGGAGTGGCCTCAGTTATTGTCGATAAATAGGAATCAAAAACTATATAGTACATTTTTATGTCATAACTACCTTTTAGATAACTCCTCTGTTAACTAATAATACATTTTCCAAACTTTTAACTGTATACATATTGTGCAGTATTAGAATATCTAGGATGAACAAAATATCAACCAGAAAATGAGTAAAAAAATAGAAGGCAGACCCAAACTTAGTAAAGGGGAAATGACTTCCAATGTTGTAAAAGGGTAAATATAAAAGGGCAGGTAAATCTGCTCTACAAGGTCCAGGTCCATGATATAAATAAGGTGTTCTAACTGGAGAGAAAGAGAAGCTGGATGAATAACATTATAGCTATCATACAGCTGTATGTAACAGGTGACTATTGAACAAAGTACCATTCTGAGGTGAGGTCATTAAAATTACTTTATAATAAGTATAAACATGAATAACATTGTAACAATCCTGGGAATGCTTCTGTGAAGTAAGAAGGAGAAAAAAATCAAAAAGAAACTCAAAAGAAAATAACATTCACAAACTTGCTTATAATGTAGTAACTTCTTATTTTTGTGTTCCATTCTAATCTTTTTTAATGATAGGTACCAATGATTTTAAAATAGTTACTCGTGAGACTTTAAAATTCACTTTCACGTGTAGCCTAAGAATGTTTACATGTGGCTGTAAGTTGTTTTACATGAATTAGGTGCTCCATCATTTCTTATTTTTCCTTTGTGGGATATTTATACTGTTTCTATTTTTCTTGTTATAAAGGACAGTGCAGTGAACAGCTTTGCATATAACTTTATGATTATTTTCTTTGAATTTCTACTGCTTAGAACAGGGACTGGCGGCTTGGTGCCTGTGGCTCAAGCGGCTAAGGCGCCAGCCACGTACACCTGAGCTGGCGGGTTCGAATCCAGCCCGGGCCTGCCAAATAACAATGGTGGCTACAACCAGAAAATAGCCAGGCATTGTACCCAGGGCAACAGCTTGAGGCTCTGTCTGAAAAAAATAAAAAAATAAAAAATAAAAAGAACAGGGACTGGCATATGGTAGGCAATCAACAAATTGTAGTCATTTAGTAAATGAAATCCTTTAGTATTTGCTTATTGTACCATAGAAATAAAGATTTTTATGAAAAACTGAAATTACATCCCTTTTACTTCCAGGCTAAAGTTTAATTTTAAATTAAAATGATAATTAAAAGTATAAGCAAGCCACATTTTCAGTGAAGTCTTGAGCACACAGAAGTTAGGAAGAATAAATAAATAGTAAATTTTTAAGATGAATATATGAAAATAACAAGGTTGCCAGGTTTTGTAGCTAACTCCTGTAATCTTGGCACTTTGGGAGGCTGATGTGAGCTGATGGGTAAGACCTCCCTCCCCTAAAAAAGGTAACAAAGGTTACAGTAGAACACAAAGGTGAAAAGTTATTTTATTATAGATGAGATTGTGAATGTTATTTTCCTTTATTATTTATTTGTTGATTTTATTGAGACAGTGTCTCTCTCTGTTGCCTAGTCTCCAGTACAATGGCATGGTCATAACTCATTGTAACCCCAGACTCCTGGGCCTAAGTGAGCCTCCTGCCTCAGCCTCCCAAGTAGCTGGGACTGAAGGCTCATTCCACCACATGAGGCTGATTTTTGTATTTTTTGTAGAGATGGGGTTCACTGTGTTGCTGAGGCTGATCTCTACTTGTGCCCTCAAGCAGTCCTGCGTTGGCCTCTCAAAGTGCTAATATTATAGGAATATTATAATATCTGTTAGGTAAAACTGTATAATAGCCACAATATTATTTACAAGTTTACCTTTCTAATCAGATTACTGGTACCTTAATTATCATGGATAGATAGGGACTTGGTGGACTAGACTTAACTTTCCCTCCTATGTTTAGTTCCTTTGCAACCTATGAAATCATTTCCCTTTATTGAGTTTGAATCTGCCTGCTATTTCTTTAATCACTTTCTAGTTAATGTTCTCTTTGCTGAACAGCTCATTTTTCTTTTTCTTTTTTTGAGAGAAAGTCTCACTCAGTTGCCCTGGATAGAGTGCCGTGGTATCATCATAGCTTACATTGACCTCAAACTATTGGGCTCAAGCAATCCCCTTGCTTCAGTCTCCCAAGTAGCTAGGACTACAGGCATCTGCTCTGAGGGTGCCTGGCTCGTTTTTGTATTTTTAGTAGAGACATGAGCTCTCGCTCTTGCTCAGGTTGGTCTTGAACTCTTGAGCTCAAGCAATCCACCTGCCATGGCTTCCTAGAGTTCTAGGATAGCAGGCATGAGCCACCATGCTCAGCTGAGAGCTTATTTTTCTAACCATTTGCAGACATTTGCCTTATTCTTTGGTGAACATTTCTGGAGTGATTTTTTTATGGGCCAGGTGCTATGTTAAGGGGCTAGGGATACAAAGAGGCCAGTATATAAACAAATCTTAAGTCTTTGGCCTTTATGATTTGGTTAAGAGAGACAGACATGTACACCTATAATTTCTTTTAAATATTATAGATAGATTGTGAAAAAAAGTGTGGGAATACAAAGAAGGGCGTCTTTTCTTCCTGAGAGATAGTAGTTTCCAAGATAGACCTCCTAGAAGAGATGCTCTAAGGTCTTAAAATCACAACTTTATTATTGATGTTCCAGAGCTATATTGTCCAGTAGAACTTCCTGTGATGATAGAAATGTTCTATGTCTATGCTGTTCAGTATTGTGGCTATTAACCATATGTGACTTTTAGCATTTACAGTGTAGCTAGTGCCACTAATAAATTTAATTTTAGTTAATTTAGTTGAATTAGCCATATGTGGCTACTGCATTGGTACAGTTTCAGAGTATATTAAAATGGGATAGAAATGAGGAAATTTACCTTTTAGCCTCAGAAATTTTAAGCTTAGGGGTGGTCAGACATAATTGGAGTAGCATGTATTCCTACCTTCGGATGTGCTGTATGAAGAAGTACATAAACTCATGAGATGAAGCTAGAGATCAGAGTTACTTCTAGTAGCCCAGAGATACTGCTTTCAGATTCAACTTCGGTCCTGAACAGGATGCAATGGAGGAATAGAACTCTGGAGCAGTTGCTATTTTTTTCTTTTTTGAGACAGCCTCCAGCTATTGCCCTGGGTAGAGTGCCATGGTGTCACAGCTCACAGCAACCTCCAACTCCTGGGCTTAAGTGATTCTCTTGCCTCAGCTT